GTAGAAGCCATTAAGTCCAATTTCAGAATGTATCGGAATTTCGACAGAGTTTGGCAAAGCTTTGCAATTTCGACTGGGTCCCCATACCGCTTGTTTATCCTCAGGTATGCCAGTTTGATTCCCCTATAAAAGTACCTTCATAATTAGGATACTTATCGTTTGCCGTCTTATCGAGCATAGCTATCGTAGAAAAATTGGGAGTTAACCTATGTGGATGGAGTCCTGCTTACCTTGCCTTACCTTGTGACCTTTAGCTGTCTTGACATTTAGTTTCGAGCCTATGAAAGCGCTACAGCCTTTGAAACTAAGAACCAGGTTACTTTGCGCAGGGCATTGAATCTCTACATCAGGAAATCGCAAATCATATCTTCAAAGGCACTGTGGGCAAAGGCAATGAGGACAAAGACTAAAGCCTCGCCCTTAATCAATCCCTTTTGGGATGCGGCACGCATTCTACTTCCATTCAGAATCGTAGTGGCTTATTGAATGCGATGTGGCCTATACAATGACTTGCGGGGCCAGCCGATGTACAAGTCAGTGTTTTATCCTCCCAGACGAATCTGGTACCAATTTACCGTCCCCGGAGGTAGAAGGCTTGGTTGGCCTGGGCGGGAGTCGACCCGGGATTTGAACCCAGAACCGCGTGAGTGGTAAACGCTCCACTTGTCACTACAGCACCTCCTTCGGTACTAACGTGTGTTAGGTGTCGGTACTAAAGTATCGCCGGCTGACGCTCATTGACTGCAATCATCATGGAAAATAGGCAGACTGACGGTGCGAAACTCATCAACCAGTGCAGCTGACGAGAATTAGAATAGAATAGTAGAGGAATAACGTATGCTTTGTTTTGACGCACCGATGAGCATTGGAGCTTCTATTTATACATGACGCACCGATTATCCGAGTAGCCCGGCGACCAACTACAGACTTGTTTCCGTATTTCGAAAACTTCAAATATACTGCACATGCCAGCGATTGAGTTGGCGTGGCTGTAAGATACGTTTTTGGATACAAGTGTTGTTCTATCTTTTACTAGACAGAGTCATGGTTGCTGCTGTTCTGCTACTGCGATACCCCTCCGAAACCGCAGTTGCTGCCACGTTTGAATGAATAAGCAGCCACGGACACTCCGCTTTTAGGATATGGAGTGTATATATGCGTAAATTATTCTTATTGATTTAGTTCCATACACTGAAGATGTGCTCAACTGCATTAAAATGCCATAAATATACAATGCTTTAGCGCGAGAAATATAAACGTGGCAGGTTGAGCAGCTTGCATTTGCCTCGAAGGAAGCAGTGAGATCCTCAGCGAGATCCTGTGCCTTATCGAATATCGCAAGGCAGACATAAGTACTGCGGCACAACTGACAACTTAAAGGCAGGCCGGCAATTATTCCCTATCACAGATATTGGATTATGGGTGTGCATATAAACCACAAGGCTGTGAGTAACTCAAGTGAAGAAAAAGGCAGAAAACTCACCACCTGCCCTAGATAGAACCCCGTTTCAATCCCAGTTTGTACGTGCCCAATTATTCCATCACCAATACTACGCCCTCATCCGCACATAGTTCCCCTCAAGAACCCTACGACCGTACGAGTG